GTTGATATCAAACTCGCGGCGCTTCATCGATTGTATCGACGTGGAGGACATCATTATGGATGGTCCCCCAGGTGCATCCTCATCTGCATCAAGCATCTCTGCCACTTCATTGCATTGCACGCTGTTCTTGTTCGACGACAAACTGATGATCGTGAAACGACCGGGAAACGGAGAGAAGAGTGGGCGTTTGCTGTCTGGGTTGGATGAAGTAGAGAAGCTGGCTAAAACCGGTGGACTGCCTCTGGGGATGAAGAAGAGTGGCATGAGCTGCAGGGGGGTATTTGATATCTGTGACGTTGTTGTCGCTGATATTGGAGATGCTGGTAAGATGCTTATAGATTCTCCGGTCGTGCAGTTGGCTAAGCTTTTTCCCAAAAGAATTCCACACTTACATTGAAAATCCTCCACAAGATCAAGGCGACAGGTGGTCAGGTCGGCCATTCCGTTCGCTTTCGGTGGTATTCCCGCCTGCTTCCATCAACCTTGATCCTTCACGAACGGTGACCGAGAAAGAGCGCTTTCTGGAAAACCTTTGGTCAGCTCAGGCAAAGTACAGAACTAAGGCGGGTCAATCTGTGATACTGTGTGCAGATGAGAAGGAAGTCGAGGTCAGAGGTGGGCGGACCACCGTTGCCCGCACGTATTTTAATGTCTACCAGCGGACGGCGTTTTTGCAAGAAAGCAAAAAGGTAGTCCTCGGCTTTTCTTGTGCGCATAATGTTGGGCTCACGATTCCCTTTAGACAAAGGTTGTCATGCACATTGATCCGCAGGGCACTGCTGACCCATTGCCCTTTGGTATGGGGGGTCCCCCATATGTGATCGTGCGGGTTCACCCGATGGCTGGGGAGATATCCCGGTATTCAGTCTCCTCGAGTGACCCGAATGACGACCCTGAAGAAGAGATAGTGCAAACCTCGAGAATACCGGGACGTATTGTGCAAACGAGTGAGTCGCTTTTGACCTCCTTGATTGCTCTCTAACGTTTGTCATCGTAGTCCAACAATACGGCCTCTTTAAATTCCGCACTGGAAACGATTCTCGTCCTGCGACGCCAACGGCAAGTGCAAAATCACGAGCACATATCTTCAGCTTGGACGCGATATCCAGGAATCTCTTCAACACTCGCCCAGGGTCGTCAAGGGGTGACCTATTTGGCACATCCAGTGGTAGCCACCGCCGCACAAAGTCGTCTGCGAGTCGGTCATCAACATACACACAGACCACCACCACCGCGGATGGTAGCCTCGCAAAGTTCTCGTATCGCTCGGGTTCTACCAACACTGCCGCCACATCTTTGATTTCTGGGGATGACAGCTCCTCGGCAAATAAATCTTCCTCTTCTCACAAGAAACTAGTCAAAAGAGGTCGCTCTCCTGGTAGTGGCCGATCCTCGCCTCAACAAATATCCCGGTCTTCTTCGAGCGAGCAGCACGACGATGGAGATGACGAAGACAGAGTTGATAATCCAATGATACTTGACCGTTCGGATCCTGACCTGACAATGCGCTTGGAGCTGGCGAGACAAAATAGCCAAAGCCAGCATGGTAAATATATCCCGACACCCACAATGGAGAAGACTGTGGAGGATACGATATACGAAGGTATGATCTCAAGTTTACTTTGACACAGATTAGTATAATCACATCTGCAGAGGAACCTCCACCTCAACTACGCCCATTATCCCGTGCATCAACGGCGAGAGAAAACTCGTTCTCAGGTTCTCGGCAGGCTTCGAGTTCCCCTGTAAGGGGTCAGCCTATGCCATCCCAGCTCGAAACACCTGTGGAGTCTCGTCGTTTTGGACCACGCTGCCCCTCTCCCCGTCCCCCAGCTAGTCCAGTGGCTTTCGAGCGACAGGAACTTCCCCCCGCGGACCTCGACGTGGAAGACGACTCTTTTTCTTTCCAAGATCTGGAACAGTCCGCACTCGACAATACCTCCCCATCACCTCTTCCCCGCAGTAAACGGCAAGCGTTCGGGCCTTTTAGTCAGACCGACAGTACCCCCAAGGCAACGAATGGCGCTGCGACGCCGTTCAGCAATATTGAACCCCTCTCGATAAAGAAGAAATCATCCACTCGTTCTGGACATAGTTCACACACGACAACACGGAAGTACAGGACATCACCGCTCTCAAAGACGACTGGAAGAGTTGTCTCGCCCCGGAAAGTGTCACCTCAAACGTCCAAACTACCACGTTCCTCATTTTCGCATCTCACCACTGAGTGTGCAGACAATATATTACAGCTGATAATTTCAGCTAGAGACGAGGTTTGCAGTTCTTCCGTGTATCTCTGCTACCTTGCTCATCACTCACCAGGTTGAATCATCGCACCGCGCAGTGAAAAGGATGAAGTTTGATGTCACAGAACTACGCCCAAATTCATGCAATAGTCCGGTTGATTCATTCAGGTCGTCATCTCCAGACAAGTCGCTTGCGCGCGGTTCCCAAAGAACGAACCACACACCGATGGTAAGTATCTTGTGTCAACTTGACTGTTAACACGTATTCACTGGTTTCTCGTGAAAAGACCAAGGAAGCACAGCAGCGGATGGAAGAGATGCGTCAACTCATCAACAAGCGACAAACTGAAGGTCCGACGACCCCGCTCAATCGACCGCGCAGTTTCATAGGGGAGAGCAACATGCCAAAGGCAGCTGAGATAGTTAATTCCGCAGTGTTAACTCGCCTTGAGGAATCCCTAGCAGATGCAGACCAAAGCATGGCTCGCGGAATTTTACACCATGAGACTTTGCGGGGTGACTTCGAACAGTTCATGCTCGAGATCAAGGAGGTGAGCTCCAATAGTTTACTTTGAATTCCATGGACTAATACGTATTCTCTTCTAGAAAGCTGCGGATCTTGATCGAAGCCGAGTGGAACTACAGAACACCAAGCGCCAATGTGAACTTGTGAAGAGCTTACTGGCAGACGCAACGGCCGAAAAAGAAATCATGTACGAGGTCAGTGCACGGCAATTGGGTCGATAAACATATGGGTTTATCATACTACTCAGGCGTTTAACGAAGAACTGGACGCGATGTACAACGACGCCAACCTTCCCCACGACGAAGCTTGGGAATCCATGTCAAAGGACTTGTGTCAAACAAAAGAGTCACGCAACGCTTTAAGCAAGGAGAACTCGTACGTTTCTCTTTTGCATGGTACTTTCATATGTTCTACGAGGTTAACAGGGAGCTGAAACGAAAAATCGCCGAAATGGAATCAGAAAGAGAGGAGTAAGTCTTTTTTGTTTGTCCACCGCTGGTTCTCGCCTGACCCTTGTATTAGGTGGGCTATCTTGCTACGAGCTCATGGACTAATATCATCACATGTTTCCTGATTTCCATGTCATTTTTTGCATTCATTTTTGCATTGCATTCTTGTCTACATACATACTCACAACGTCATCTCCGCAGCTGGACTGCACCAGCAATTGACAGATCACACCCTCTGTTTGACCGCTCGTTTAGCTGCTAACTCTTCCAATCTTTGCCGCTTCAAGGGAGAAGGTAAGCCCTTGTAAGCAGCTGATCCGGTGTCGTTGGGTGAGGTAGACGCAGTCGAGGTCACTGGATCAGGATCCACTGCCTCTCCAAGAGTTTCTGGTGAACGAGGGCTGAAGGCCATTCAGAAGTAAGAATCACTTGCAGGGGTTTCACCGACCTCTCTGCGGCTGCGACAGAGCCGTCATCTATAAAGTTATCTTCGTCTTCTTCTCCGATATCCATCTCACAAGTGTCCATCGCTGCCCATTGCCGAGAGATATCTAACAGTAGGTCCCATTGTTGTACTGCAGTGTGTGTGATTATTTCACACTCTTCCCGCGGACAGATTTCGCGGCAATGAGGACATTGGACTGACTCTGTCTGATCATTGAATACCTCATTGGAGCCGTCGCCCTTTAATTGTTTGAAACATTCAACACAGACAGGATGTCGGCATTGTAGGCTGACTTCAGATTCAGATAGACAACTTGGTTGCACAAGCTGGGAACCTGACCTATAGCAATTTCCCACTTTCATTTCTTCCATGCAGACAGCACATTCTTCTTCTTCTGCAAGTGTATTCATGTCGATGGTTTCACACATGTGTCGCAAGAGCTAGACAAGAAATGCAGGTCCACAATAAGGTCAAGAAACGACGGTGCGTACCTTGATAGCGCTTTCACCCAGGTCTGCTGTCTGCTGGATTGGTACAGCCCCGTCATGATCATCTGCGAGTTCTTTCGCATCCCGCTCAACCTCTTTGTCTCGAAGCTGCCATAGTTAGTAAGGAAGGAGATCATTACTACCGAAAAATACACCTTTTCGATGGTACGCCTGTCTTTTTCCCGGGCCTAATGATATCGATTACTTCCATGACACATTTCTAGTGGATGAGAAAACATACTGCATTTAAATCGGCAATTTTGCGTTCCAATGGGCGAATTTGACGCGGGGAAGCCCTTTCTCTTGCGGCAAGGCTCCTGCCTGCCCCGTTGCGTACGGTTTGTTGAACCCGTTGTAGCTCGGATTTCAAGCTTCCGTTCTCTTGCCCGAGAGACCGAATTCGGGTATACAGCTCTTCCACGCCCGATCTCAACCCATTCAGATGGTCCTAGAGGAACTCGGAAGTTATCTGCTGGTGGCAAGGTGGAGAAATGTAGATACCATAACGGACATGCCGGTTTCTGCCTCGACGTCATCACGAGGAAGCGAAACGGAATTATTCAAGTCATCGTCACTCGTCGCCGAACAGTATGGGATTGTGACTGTTCTCGTTATGACCAGGTCCCGAGGTGAGTACCCACCAGTGTGCTCTCTCCGACTCCGCTTAGAAGCCAGCCTCCGCGTAGATGCTCTCGTATTCGGCATGATAGCTGAGAATAGTTTCTTGGTGACTGGTGACAGATGCCTCTTTGATTGTTAACTGTAAGTCCAGTCCTGCTTAGGAGCACGAGGCATTTTGACATAAACAAGCGTATTTATGGGAATAACAATTCTTGTTTTCAGCAAGTCCTTGTCGATTAGTGGTTAAATCGGCACGTTGTGGATCTCACAGTACCGTGCAGCCGCAGGTTCAATTCCTGCCAAGGACAGTATTTTTGTGGCCGCGATGTTTCTGGCAAGGCAAATATATGGTTCGCGACCAGGAAGCTCTCTCTTGTTCTATCATCGACAAGTATGGCTACCCGAAGGACCCTTGGAACAATTGATCTTTGCTTTTTAGGAACTGCTTCTGCACAACCATCTTCCACGAGGAATCACTCTGCGATCGCATTACGTTTGGGTGGGGAAGTATGGTTGTTCGATTGTGGGGAGGCGACCCAGCATCGAATGCAGAAAAGCTCACTAAAGATGGGAAGAATCAAGAAAATATTCATCACCCATACCCATGGTTCGAGCTTGCACTCATCTAGTTGCTGGCGCTGACATTGGATACAGGGGATCATATCTTTGGTCTACTGCCATTGATGGCATCTATTGCAAACGGCGCTGGGGGCACGATCGAGGACATCGAAGATCCTCGGTCACAAAGTCAAGGCAATGTCGAGGTCGAGGTCTGTCTGTCAAAATTGCCGCAGATTCCAAGCTCACAGGATAGCTAGCCACTGGAGATCTACGGACCACTCGGGACGCGAGCATACGTTCGTGCTGGCCTCACGTACACGTACACTCTGTTGGGAGCTTCATATGTCGTCCACGAGCTACGCTTTCCAACCGATCCACCCGACGGTGATCAGATCGAGCTCCCCCGTCACGCGTCCGAACTCCCAAGTGGCCGTAACATACCTCAAGACGGCGGAGTCTGGAAGGATATCTTCAAGGATGATCTCGTCAGTGTCTCTGCAGCCCCAATTTTGCATTCCGTACCATGCGTTGGGTATGTGATCCAGGAAGCCCCTGTTCCGGGGAAAATGGATCCCAAAAACTACATCCCAAGCATACGACGGACCAAGACCCCGATGTCGGTCATGAGTCGTTTACAACAAGGCGAGAGTGTCGAGCTTTTAGATGGGACTGTCCTGCATGGCCCTCCTCGTCGACCGGGCCGGAAAATTGCGATCCTTGGTGATACATATGACCCCACTGCAATCGCGGATGTAGCTTGTTCACCCGATCTACTTGTGCATGAAGCAACAAATGCTCATCTGCCGGGCATTGATCCAACCACCAAACAAATCGATACGTTCGAGAGCGTCGAGGCAAGGGCAAAGTCCAGGGGTCATTCAACCCCGCAGATGGCTGGTGCCTTTGCAACACGAATCGGGGCACGAAGGCTAGTCTTGAACCACTTCTCACCTAGATACCCCGGGAACGACGATGTCAGTGGAGAGGCGAGGACCATCATGGAGGCAATCGCACATTCGGCGAGAGAACATTTCACGGGCGAGATTATTTGCGCTAGGGATTTAATGACTATAGAGGTAAACCTACCACAGCAGAATACGAACACCTGACAATGCAACAGAAACACAATACCCTCAATCGTCTGGAGGATCGGACAACTCGCTACTCGAATCACTAGCTTCTCCTTCCTCCAGCTCTTCTCTGATTTTTTTCTTCGGCTTCGGGGACTCTGCTACCTCTCCCATTTCGATGTCGTCATCTTCAGCTTGATTGAATGGTGTGAGATCTTTTCTTGAGTGTGTCTCCCTGTGTGAAGACAGTGGAGTTCCTGAATGTGACGCTGTATCTTTGATCGAAGTACTCGGCTTCAAAGACAGCGGAGGATCAAGCGACTCAACATCTTCCCCGTCCTCTTCCTCAGCGACCTCGCCGGATTCAACACCCTCTACATGCTTTTCATCATCGACTGGTGGGGTCCCTTGGATGCCCTCCTCAGCATCGGTGGATTCGGCGGCAGGGGTGGGCATTGGAGATGCTAAACGAGACACCGCGCTCTCCTTGTCTTTTCCCATGAGGCGGAGAGAGCTAAGATCCAATACGATACTATCAAGGGCAGATTTCTGCCCTCTGATGATGCGTTCCTGCGTCTCATGCTCTGACAAAATCGCCGTCATGTCGTTTTCTAGTGCCAGGATCGACCTTGTGCGACACGTGTTTAGGAAATGACGGAGAGACATGACAAAACACGTACCGTTCCAATTCCTCGCGACTGGGGAGCGTGTTTATTTTTTCTGCGACCGAGTCGTACTCCATCTTGCGCCTGCGCTCCATCTGCGCGTGTTCCAACGCGACCTTGAGTTCGCTAATTTGGCCGCGCAAAAGATCGTGTTCCTGCTCTAAGGGGAGAGGTGGTATTGCGAACGTATTCCAGGGCACCAGAGCACGTACCGATCCTATGCCGCTCCCGTTGGTACTCCTCTACCTGCCTCGACTCGGCCTCGCAAATCATCAGGCTCTTCTTTAGTGCCAACTCGAAGGAGGCCAGTTCGACCAAGAAAGCCTCCCGTGCATCATCGACACTCCCACCTTGGGTGGGTGGTAATAATGAAGTGTGTGCTAGCGAGGCGTAATTGTGGAACTTTTTGACGATGCGGCGGAGAGCGCGTTCATCGTTGGTGATTCGGGTGTGGATGATGGCATCTAAAGGGGCGTTTATTGCGATAGACACGTCCAAGGGTCACGACATACGCGCCTTCTTCGTCGGTAGAGAGAGGGGGGATGGTCGGTGTTGCTTCAGAAGGATTGCTCACGGTTGACAATGACATGAAGTCAAGTGCAAATCAAGTATACGCTCCATGTCCCACGACAATGCAATAACACAACAAGTGACAATGAAAACATGCAACAAAGCTCCGTACGTCGAGGCGTCCATCTCCGTGAGCGCGACGCCGACCGACGAGTTCGACTCAACCCCATTCATCCGGCACAAAGGGTGTCACAAGGTCATATATCTCCTCGTTCCCTCTACTGTTCTTGTTTGCCTTGTTTCTACCCATCACGCGCTTGAACATACCCCCAACCCCCCTCCTTGAAACCACCGGATCAATTGGGGCAACGCGATCCGCCTCTGTCTGATAGCAGTTGTCAATATACTGTGCCAACTTTCGCAGTCCGCTCGAGCTATCGTTGGCAGCTCTACGCGAGTCTTGCACAGCCGATTGCAGATACATGGCAAGGTTGGGGAAATTAATTGGAAGGTTAGGATATGGCGTCGTCGGCGTTGACGGCACAACATAATATTTGGCCATAGGCGATTCTGAACCATCGCGAAGAAGCGTCGGCAATTGCGACAGCGTATATGAATACGGTAGGACGCTGATGTCGCCGTTAGTATACTTGTATGAGTTGTGCAGGTTAGCAGGGGCAGGAAAGTCTGTTGTCAGATAAAGCACTGTTCTCCATTCGGACGCAGAGTGATGGATCTTGGCAACCCCGACCATGAGCACAACAGTTATTCATTCCACACTTGCTTACACACCTTGATAAACTGAATTACAGTCCGCAGCTTGAGATCATGCTTGGCGACGCTTATTGCGTCTACGGTAGGCTCTACGCGGGTGGCGCTCAGTCTTGCCATCAACTTGAGCAACTTCCGCCAACTGGGAGCCTGAAAATGGAAAATGGGCGCTCTTCCATAAGGGAGAGTGATCACGTTTGGCATCGGACCAGCCATGAGCAGTAACTCTGTCGAAATAACTGGAAGATTAAAACCCAGAGCTAAACGACGGGGTCAAACGAGGTGCTGGATGAACTTTAGAGTAGAGACATACAAACACCCAAAAGCATCTCGCGCTCAACGTATTGGTTTGCTGACAGCGGGACGAGTGGTCGTGTGGATGAACCTGGTTCTGGACTTGCCTCTTCAGCTTCTTCGTCCAACGTGTCCAGGTTAGCCAACGGTGCGAAGGAAAGGTCAGGACTTGCAGACGAATGCGTAGGAGATTTGTACCCAGAGGATGTAGGATGAAGATCGCTACCCAGAGAATGCCCGGCAGACGAACTGTTTTCAGACGAAAATGACGGCCAACTCGGCCGCGAGGTAAAGGGCGGCATTGGTGATTGTTCGCTACTGCTTGATTTACTTGATAGACTCCGTGATAAAGTCGGCGAAGGGGGGGCGAGGTCCGAGGAGGATGTGTAATCGCTCTGCGGGTATGAAGTGGAAGCAGCCGAGGGCGAGGAGGGTGTGACGGTCGATTGACTCGAAGAAAGAGTAGGAAGAGGGTTTCGGACTAGGTTAGAAACGACCTTGGCATACAGGGGAGGTGTTGGAGACGATTTATCCCGGAGCGTGCACATATTTTGAATGTCGCTGGGAGTCCCTGGGCCACCATCAGACTCAGCTGGGCTCACGGAAGAATGTGAAGAGGAAAGATCTTCCTCAAGGGAAGAGTATTGTGACGAAGTCGACGGAGTAGGGGTTATCAAATGTAGCCAGCTTTCGCCTTCTAGAGGATGAGCAGAGGCCCTTATTGCAGAGATGGATGCTCGATCCAAGGATGGTGGCTTGAGGGATGAAGAGGATGGCGACTGCTCATGGAGAGTGTAAATGGTTCTGGACGATAGTCGCGATTCTTCCAGGGCTCTTGCGAGTTCCTCCTCCTCCTGAGCGATCAACTCTTGCTCACGTTTTCGAGCTTCCGATGCGGAAAGCGTGAGCGCGAATTCGACTTCCTTCTCATCGCGGAGAGGTATGGCCTCGGTGACAATGGGTTCAGGGGGCTGGGAGAGAGGACCGACCACGGGTAATGGTATGGATGTGGGATAGAGCGGAATCCTCGAGGCAGGAGAAAGGGCCAGGGCTGCAGGTTTTGGCGGGATGGGCGGGAGGGGGTTGGCGAGGGGTTTGAGTAGCGCTTGCGGCTTCTGGGGGAGAGGAGGCGGTGACGGAAGGGGCAGGGGTTGGGAAGAGAAATAGTCGCCATACAACGACTGACGTTGGGGAGAGAGAAGGCTAGTGGGTGAAGCCATCGAGCCATGGCTCGTGCGCGGCCGCTGGGCAAGCCTGCCGGGGGTGAGGCTGGGTGGAATAATTGACGGGGGCAGGCTGATCGTCGTTGGTTGTGGGATATAGGGCGCTGAGCCCGACATGCTTGTGAAGCGGGGTCTGGGACTGGAACCTGAGGGGCTGAATTGCGGGGGCGGGACGTCGAGGGAGGCGGCATGGTGGGGTGGACGGGGATACTGC